CGATCCGCGCGTCCTCGCGCTCCCCGCCGCCCATCCCGGAACTGGCCGCTTCGCCCGTTTTACTGCGGCGTGGACGAGTCTGTGGTGAGACCCTGTTGCAGCACGCGTCTGCGCCCCAGACCCGGCCCCTTCTGGCTTCACGACGCAAGAGCCCAGCAGCCGTCTCCTGGCCCGAGCGCAGGCCGCCCCCTCCCGGCGATGAACACTCCGCCAGTGTTGGAGGAGGGTGGTGACCCGCCTGGGGTCACTCAGGGACTCGAGGTCCCCGGGCACTCTGGATCCGGGCGGGGCGGTCTTTCCAGACGCCACTTGCGGACAGGGGACATGTGAGCTGCCCTGCTCGGGTCTGCGCCCCTCCTCCAGGCCTGTCCCTCCTCCCTCCTGCAGGGCCTCCTACCCCAGAGAGACCCTCATGCCTGGACCCCGCTGTCCCCTGCCCTCTCTCTAAATCGCCCATTCAGACAACTGTGGCCACTTCCCAGCCGGCTATCATGCAGGAAAACAAGGCAGCCTTGTTTCAAGTTTCATGGCAAACACCCCCCACAATTTGAAACAAGGGGCATGGAGGACCCAAAAGCTATTTTTAAGGCAGTATTCTCGGTGGGGGGATTTCGGGTGTCACAAGCAGGCTAGAAAGGGGACGGTTGAGGCCAGGAAAGCGGCAGGGAGCCAGCTGCCTCCTCTCCGGACAGCGGCACAGCATCAGCATCAGCATCACTCCGATCCAGTTCCAGGTCAGCACCCAGGGAGCTTGGCACCCTTCCACAGGGAAGCCTTCACACGTGGCCCGCTTCACCAGCCCCTGCCAAGCTTTTCTTCTCCCTCATGTCTCGGACGAGTTTTGCAGGTGCCTCCTTGAGCCCCTGTCCCCTTAGGGCCCTTGGTGCCTCCCTGTCCTGGTCCTCAGGGGCACTGTGGAGGCCAGTGGCTGGTCCCCTCCTGCAGGCACCCTGGGCCTTTTCCCTGGCCTAGATGACCCCCACAGACATTCTGCCCGGGAGGAAGTGGCTCCACCCAAGCAACTTGCCCATTGTCCTCGGTCTGGGAAGGGCCCAGGCACACCTGCTCTCACCTGCAAAGCCACATGAGCAACTGCTGTCAGATCTGTGAAGACAGAGGCTGAGTCTAGTTCCTCTGTCTGTATCCACCAGTGCCTACTTCACAGTAGGTGCTCAATAAATGTGTGAATGAGTGAATCAGTGAACAAATGAGTGGACACTTGACTCCTCGTCAATTTCCAGCTGGGAATTCATCAGGCGTCTACAGTAGTCCACAAGAGAAAGACCATCTCATGTCTGGGCCAAATCAACCCTGGAGCAGGCGGCCTGGGTTTGAAATCCTGGTGCTGCCACTTTCTAGCTGTGAGGCTGTGGACAAGTTACACAACTTCTCGGTGCCCTTGTTTCTTTACCTGGAACACAGGGGTTATAAACCTGTAGGACTGTGAAGAGGAGTAGTGAGTTAATATGGGTGGTGTGTGTGGGACTGGACCTGGTGTGCAGGGAAGGCTCAGTCAATGCTGGCCATTGTTCCCCAGAGTAGAATGACTCTCTCCACAGTCATGCCAGGGCCTATACCGTGCTAGGGCCTGGGGACATCAAAGCCTCCCACCATCCCC